CAAATTTTCAAATGTATATTGTGATAAATATTTTTGGTCATATCGCCCTGCTCTAAGGACTAGTGTTATGAAAAAATAAATTAGATAAAGAGATTTGTTTTAAAAAACAACAACAACAACAATCTGTTGTACCAGCCTGTCAAAATATTAATTTCACTGCTGTTATTGAACATTTTTACATGGAAGTCTAATGGGATTGATTCTGTTTTGGACAGCGCCTCAAGTGGCCACTATTGGAACTGTCTCTCTCTTCTTCTTTTTTTTAGCACTTCCATGTTGGCTTCACTTTTCAGCGTCAGAGCTTGCCACTTTCTGCTGCCTTTACCTTTGAAACACAGCTCCACCCACTCATCGAGGCCGCTCCAGTCAGCACATGTGGTCATCTGTGCATTAAGTGTTGATAGGCTGTTACTCGTGAAGCTTAACAAATATAATAGTGCCTGACACCTCAGGGTGATGACAGCTGCCAGAGAGAGGTAGCTTTTTACAGTGACGCATTTTACAGCTAATCTGTTTTATCGAGACTCTGTGGAAACAAGAATGATTCTGATAATCTGAAAAATGTTGAGCATCAAGTCTGGTTGATCCCAAGAACAGAGTGACCTCCACATTTTCATCGGTCTCTGAAAGGAGGGGTGTGTGATTCATTGTGTCCATCATGTTGAGTCAGTACACTCACAGGGGAAGCATGTACAGAAACGGGAGTGAACACGGGCCTTTCACAGAAGAATGTGTCAGCTGAATAACCGCTGACAAAAGTGCCATTCTTGTGCTATTTATGATTTCTTTAATTATACTAAACAAGCCAGTCAACCAGCTTATTCATAAATAAATATTGCCTTTTTTAAGCATACAGCATACTGACAATTTACTGATAAGTACTGTTATTCAAAAAAATGTGCCAGTAGACATAAAAAAAAGGAAGGAATACCTACATGGCATTGTGTGGTAGATGCTGGGCCAGTACTGACCACTGTCTCTCTTCAACCATACCCGAATAGTCCTGTGGGATGAAACCAACAGAGATTAGTCCTCAATGCATTTGAAGTGAGTTACGTTCTTGGTGTCAACTTTGTAACACTGCAGGTAATCAACTCTAGTTTGCCAGAATTTCTGAGAAAACAGAAATATATGTGACGT